TCTTTCTGTCCCTCTCTCTCCCCCTCCCTCTATCTCTCCCTCTCTCTCCCCCTCTTTCTCTCTCTCTTTCTGTCCCTCTCTCTCCCCCTCCCTCTATCTCTCCCTCTCTCTCCCCCTCTTTCTTTCCCCACTCAAAGGCAGGACGGTAGCTGGAATTAAAATCCCCCACCTTCTTATCTCCCTCCCCCAGGAAGGCTAATGTGAGCTGAAAGGCGTTAAATTGAAAGTGGACTGACGATGTCGTTTAGCTAACTAGCGACACGCCACAGTCCCGGCCTGCTCCACTTTGGCGTCCCGTTGGACATGGCAGAGTGGGGTAATTACAGCCCATTCTTCGCTGGCATACTGATCACAGCACCCCCCAATGACCTACTTTCAGGCAGAACTCGGAAAGTTTAATGTTAATGATTCTTTTCACTGTTCGATCTCATTTTCATTAGGAGGCCATTCACTAACTCAAACTCCCTAAACCTAACCCTAACCCCTAAACCTAACCCTGCCCATAGGAATTTCCGATAACCTCTTCAGCTTTGCCTTGCTAGCCTGATTTAGCTTACAGGTGAACAAGGTCTTCCAAGTTGGTTTTTAAACCTTGACTTTAGTTACTTTAAATAGATCTTCTTAAATGAGAGTTTTCTTTTTGGTGAGGTATCATTTATGTCATTTAAACTGATGTATCTGTTATACCTGGGCTCTCTTGGGGGCCCTGCTGTATATTACCTTACAGTTGTGCTCGATTTGGCCATATGGTGGAGCCATTACTGTTGTTATTCACTCTCTCTTTGATCTTTCCTTGGATTTGGGTTCGTCAGTTTCTTTTGTTCTTCACAGTCAGATGCAGTGAATGAGGCATCTGCGCAGGCCGCAGGATGACATGATGAATCAGACACCTGTGCAGGCTGCAGGATGAAATGGTGAATCAGGCAAGGTGGAGCAGTGCCAGAAATTCGGTGCCCCTAGGTGGATAAACCCTAAGTGGCGGCTGCATCAGGGCACCTACATCTCCCCAATTATTGCCAGGCTAGCCCCTAGGACACACAGCTGCCCTTTTTCAAGATAAACCCCATTTATCAGTCAGTGGCAGAGCTAGCTGGGAGCTCTGTTCCACTTCTGGCATTTGGCAGCTTGCACTTTTCAGGCGAAGCATTTGTCTTTCCCTGCATTCAAATGTGCCGAGGTCTATTTTGAATGTGGGACTGGATGGTGTCATGTGAGTAACATGACATCATCTTCTGCTTTACCAAACAGGAAACTGGTCTTTAAAGGGAGCATCTGCCCTCCTGAGGTTTAAAGAGGTCTACAGTAACATAAGTAAACAGAGCATGAGTTGACAATCCCTCCCGTTTTTTTTTTTCCAGCTGAACAGGGTCCCGGTGGTGCAGCCATCGCATGCCGTGCACCCGCTCACCCCCCTCATCACATACAGCGATGAGCACTTTGCTCCTGGCCCCCACACAGGGCACCACCCACCTGACGTCGATTCAAAGTCAGGTAAACGAGGCCAGTCTCTGAAGAACATGTAGGAATATGGTATGTTTTTCGGCAGTGAGATCTGCAGTGAGACCGGTAGTGTGATCGGCATTGAAATTGGGAGTGATACCACCAGTGTGATCCAGAATGTGATCAGTAGTGAAACCATCGATGAGATGCAATGTGATCAGCAGTATAATCGGCAGTGTCATCGGCAGTGAGACCGGTAGTGTGATCAACAGTGAGACCAGCAGTGAGATTAGCACAAAGTGTAATCATCAGTGAGACCGGGAGTGTGATCGGCAGTGAGACCGACGGTGGGATTGGCAGTGGAGACAGGTAGCATGATCAGCCGTGAGATCAACAATGAGGCTGACAGTATGATCAGCAGTGGGATCAGCAGTGAGACGCGGTAAGATCGGCAGTGTGACTAGTAGTGAGACTGACAGTGCTGTGGTGTAATTCTGTTTTTATTAAGGTATCATTTGCATGCTTACGGCACCAAAGGCCATTGATTTCACCATGTTTCCTGTGTTCCTTCAGACATGCCAAGGCATCACTTGGTACCCGACCTTCCCGGGTTCTACCCACTCTCTCCAGGAGGAGTGACTCAGATGCCCCCCCAGCTGGGATGGTAAGTTTTCTATTTTCTGTCTTAAGTTTGTCTTTCTGTGGGGAGATCTGGGATACAGGGGACATCCTGCACACAGTGTGATATCTGGAGAAGGGACATTCTGCACATGGAATGATATCGGGACTGGGGACACCCTGCACACGAAATGATAACCAGACAGGGGAGCCCTGCACAAGCTGTGGTCATGTCAAATGGTCGGGGCGTCCCCCTCCTGGACACTGAAAGGGGTTCCTTTTCTAAAGAGCCCATCTGTGAATTTGCTCTTTGCCTAATGCAGGTTCTCCCGGCACATGGTGCCGGCCCCCCCACACCTCCCCGCCCCCCCCGCGACCGCCATTCCCCACCCGGCCATCGTGCATCCACATATCAAGCACGAGCCGCCGCAGGATGGCAGCCTCCTGCACATGTGAGGTTCCTGCGCCCCTGTGTTTTCGAGGAGTTCTGGGCGGCTCCTCTCCTTCACACGTCACTTTCTCTAATGATGCATTAATCTCTTGCCCGCTGTCACAGCCATATTCCCTCCCCACCCCCACAGGAAGCCGCATCATGACCAGAGGAAGGAACAGGAAGCCAAGAAGCCACACATCAAGAAGCCACTGAACGCCTTCATGCTCTACATGAAGGAGATGCGGGCCGACGTGGTGGCCGAGTGCACGCTGAAGGAGAGCGCCGCCATCAACCAGATCCTC